CATCTGGTTTACTATGCATAATTTTCGGGGTTTTTTATCTTTGAAAAGGAATAGAACCATGAAAATCTCCTAAAGGACTTTTCCGACCATAGAGTTGCAACACTCATATTAATACCACCTCCGAATTACTGAATATTTTTTGTTGTTTTCAATTGAGACTATATATATATATAGTATCTCTGAACTACAAGTTATTTAGTTTTGTTACATGCCTTAATATTGATTGTTAGGTATTACTCTGTGTACCGTGTATACTCTAAACTCTTTCTTTGATAGGTGTAAAATTAAGGCAGTATTCTTTGTTTTTTCTGCCCATTATGTAACAATATATATTGAGTAGAATGAATCAATAGCGTCTTTCTAACAATTTATCTATCTATCCCTATTCCTTTTTTTTTTAATCTGTGTACACAACATTTGTTTTGTTCTTCGAAAATCGAAAAACATCTGTAGGAAGTTTGTCAAAGATCGCAGTCATTTATCTACAGTTACTAACTGACATTTCTATAGTGTTCATTGTTGAATTGATTTCCTAAAGTTGAATTCATTCAAGAACCTATATAAGTTAATTAGAGAATAATTGAAAACTAGGCGACACTGAATAACTGTTTCTTCCTTATCACCAGCGCACACCCATGAACTTATCATGGATATTAAATCAGGGATCTTCAAGGCACAAGTACAGCCTGTTAATTATTCCGCTAATGGGATGGGATCTAATGACCAGTGAATTTTGATTTATATTAATTTGTGATATAGTGAGCATCCGAAATACTGAAGAGTCTCAAATCAGAATAAAACATATATCTAGCGAACTATTATTATTATTATTGTTCCCTTGGGTTCCTAGTGGAACATAGGGCTTCAACTGCACATCTCCACTTGCTTGTGTCTTCCTTCTGCTGTACTTTTCGCCTGCATTCATGTTAGTCCACACTGTTTCAACTCCTCTTCACACGATCTCCTCCATGTCACCCTTGCACTGACGTCCCACTCGCCGCTTCCCTTTCGGCCTGGTTCCACTCGAGCAATGGGCTTAAGTGCGCGCGATGTCACCAACCGGCACCCTCACTCAGCGAGTGTCCAATCTATCTGCACTTTCTACTGCATATTTGTTGGTTGGCGATTGGTTCTTGTTTTGTTTGTTCCCATAGTTTATGTTGGTGATTCTTACCGGCCCGGCCATTTGATCTTCAGTATAGAACCAGCGAAGACAGTTGTTCATAAGGGTAACGTCTGCAACAGGTTGTTGGAAATATTCTTTGTGACCCGCCGGCCAAGGTTGTCATCCGTATAGAAGAACTGACTGACTTGATGTTTGTATTGAAAATCCGACCGAATTTTGTTGTTGATACTGAGTGACGAAGATTTCCAGATTGGTTTAAGTTTGCTGATGAATGTGTTTCTCGCCTTCCTGATTCTCGCTCGATTTGACATCCTCGTCGGTTCCGACTGCCTGTAGTTGAGACAATGCTCCCTAGATAAGTGAATGAAGTGACCTCTTTCAAATCCCTCCTGTTGATGGGGATTGGTGCTGGAATCATGGTTTTCAATAATTTTCTAACTTTCGTCGTCTCGTGATGGAATCCCCATTCAAACCAATCAAAACTATTTTTAAATCAAAAATCCAAATCACATATTATTGGTAGATTGATTGGACCAATGAAAAGGCACTAGAAGATATGGTCATCGGAAATGATATGCGCTTGTTCCCTTAGAGAAAATTGGATATATACAAGCGAAAACAGGACCTCATGTGAGCATAGAGAAATTCGACGTAATGAAGATATCAAACAGGCAACAACAAAAAGCATCAATCAGCATCCATGGGAGAAATCTAAAGGAGACTGTTTCCTTCATTTGCTTGATGGGACAGCATTGTTTCATCTGCAGGTGGAACAGATGAAGACATTAAAAGTAGTATTGGTAAAACAAGACAGACCTTTATTACTCTGAAACCCCTGTGGGAATTTGTTACACTGAGCATAAGAAATGAGGTGAGAATTTTCAACACTAATGTCGTCAGTCATTGCTTCTATGTAGTTCAAACACTTGACACGTGTGTTACCACAAGCATTACAAACAGGCTGTAGACCTTGATAAACATCTCTACCTTTCCTTAGTACTGAAGATCAAGTGGGTGGTGAGCAAGGATAAGCATAAAGGAACTCTAGCAGGCAACGAACCATTCAATAGTCTATTGACCAATGGATATAAGAAGGAAACTGGAAATGGATAAGACTATTGCATGACACCATGCATTAGGTGGGCTCTCGAGTGAAACCTGAATGCAGATCGGACAACACGTTGGGCACTCGAGAGTGATACGAAGGAGATGATGTGCTAGTAAGTCTTATGAAGAAAGACTATCTTATTGATTACAATTCAGCATCTCATCATCATCATCAACTCAGTTGTTAAAATTTGTTTCTCTGCCTGTACTTTCTCTTCTCTTTTTGAGGTTATTATCACATGTAAATCACATGTCGCATGTTGAATAGTTAGTTGTATACATCAATCACAGACTCTGTTTTCATAATATACTTCTATATACTTGTTTATCTATGCAACTAAATGGATGAATGAATGAATGAATATATGCCCGACTGATTGACTGCTTTCAATACAAGCAAACAAGGCAAAGTAGATTTAACTGTGATATTGTCTTTGATGAAGGAGAAGTAGTAGTAAAAAAAAATGAAAACAAAGTCAAAATAAGTTGCTGCTGTTGTTGTATTTGTTGTTTTTTCTTTATCAGTATAATACAGTTACTCATGTTGAAAGGTATTCACCTACACAGGGATAAAACCTATGCGCATACGCTCATATTTATCATATACCTTTCTACAGTGATGATTAACCGGTTGGATAAATACCTAGTTTTCGCATGAATTACTCTACTGAATTCCACTCTTCAAATGTTGTGTTGTGTTAGACTTTTGAAGTGTAAAGTTAGTATTATGAGTCATTGAGGTTTAAGGCTGGACAGACTAATATTATTATTATTATCATTAAGATTGTTACTATCATTAAGCTTATTTCCGTAATTAGATTTTACATGCTGAGTATACAATGTGTTGTACCGCTACAATTTAGACGTAAACAAAGTAGATTAGTCAATAGATAAATAGATAGATGGTCACATATGATGAATATATATATATTCAAATTTTCATTTCACATTTTTCATACAATGACAAGTGAATAGTCCTATTGTATCTCAAGTCTCATCATAGACTGACATCATTTAGAGATGTCACTGAAAATCAGCGTAGGGTAATAAGCTGTTGGTTCATCCCAGTCTGGGACTCTTCAACAATACGCACCCAGGATTTTTAGATTACAAGACTAAGCTCGTTGAACATTCAGTCACTTGCGGTGGTGTTCAGTAATCCGTTAATTCTAACTTCTTTGAATTCTCAATTAAACTTGAAACAAATCGAATCCTCACCATTTAGTTATTATCAGGAGGAATTAGAATGATGAAATTACTGTTATTGTACCCAATGAAATTTACAGAAATTGCTTCTTCACTGAATTATGTGTTTTCCTTTATGCTCATTGTTTTTCGTTTCTTCTAAACGGCTTTTTATAAAGTTTTGTTTTAGTTGCATTAGTATGATGAAGTGAAATTCAAGATTGGTTGGAGTATTTCATCATGAGCTGATATCAGTTAGAGAATTATGGAAAACCGGCTGGGAGTACTGGACAGCTGTTTCGTCCCACTAGTTTTGGGACCCTTCATCAGCACGCATCCACCGGAGTTCGAACCCAGAATCTTCTGGTCCCGCTGGGTGCGTACTGTGAAGAGTCCCAAACTAGGACGAAACAGCTGTCCAGTACTCCCACCTGATTCTCTAACCACTGTCAGCTCATGATGAAATCCTCTAACCAATCAAACAAAATCCCTACAAATACCAATGCTTGAAAATTCGGGTTTCGCAGTTTATACAGTTCGAGGATGTGAAATTTCATCAGAGTTTCCTTTCTAAACCAAAATTACTCAGAACACAATATGTGATCTCCTTGATACAATAAATAGTAACCAAGAAAGAAAGCATAAATGCGTAAAACTGCATACTACTGATTGACTGAGGTTAGTAGTTGTGTACTACTCACATTAACCAGGAGTGCATGCTAGGCAGATTGAACGAGCGAAACGGCTATCCAGTGTTTAGATCACTTTGATCTAGCAAGCACCTCCTATTGATGTGAGTAGTATACAATCACATATCTTAGTCAATCGGTGGTATATCGTTTTATGATGAACTAAGATTCCATCCCATGATTTTTTTTCTTTCCATATACCTCCGAGTCAGTAGTACCTGTCCTGTATTTTATTCAACAGTACCCCTTTTCATCCCTTCTATACTTTGCTAATGCTCAAATCTTCTACTACTGACTTACACAGTGGTCTACAAACTTATTTTTATTATTATGTAATCTTTGTATTAATTATAAGCTAGTCCATGGTAGAACGAGTTGTTTACTTTGGAGATTGTTTAAATCTTCATTTTTATTTTGTGGGATAGTGACTAGCGATGGGATCCAGGGCATGCACATTACATCCTTCTTTTCAAAGAAGAATTCGTAGGTATACAAGTAGTATTTAGGCGTTAACGTTCTGCTATTAATGTCATCAAGAGTCGTGAGTTAGCAATTTAGTGGTAGAATGCTCGCTTACTACGCATATAGTTCACACTTCGATTCCCGACTGCCTCACTCTTAAACTCCACCCAGGTTGGCTGTATGACTGGCAACCTCATCCACCCCTCATAGAGTAAAATAACACCACGACTGTTGAAACAACAAAATTCCAAGCCGACAGTCCTATGTCCAACACAATGCATACAGAAATGAAAAAAGATGTCTCAAGTCTTTGAATAGAGAAAAACTAATGTTTATCCATTGTACGTGTGCGTTTTTCGTCTCGTTATCCTCTTCATCTTTTTATATATTTTTTGTTTTTATTTGTCTGAATTAAATCTCACTTATTTCAGCGCCTTCTAGACACAGATCAACTTCACCAATACGACGTTATAAGCATCCAATTGGTTATTCATTAGAATTTATTTATTTGGGTAACCGAAATTGGACACTTAATCGATCGGACACATGTAAGCCATATAGAGTAATGTGTATGAAAATGGGGAAAAAACATGCACACAAGAGAACTATTATTCTGTTGTTCTTTTATTCATTTGTTTTTGTCCATACCTCAGCTTTTGGTGTCCCTCGCCCCACCTCCCCCCGCTTCTCTTCAGCGTCTTCATTAACATTCAAACACATCCAAACATATGCACAGACTTTTTATAGGTGCTATCCAAGAGTGCACTGCTTTTTATAGCTTTTAGTTGGCGTTGTAGTTGTAACTCTGTGTCGCTCACTACTTGCCAATACACACACATTCATTCATATCTTATGTGCTGATCACTGGGTACACGTGTCAGTGTGTGTGTGTGTGTGTTGATTTCGATGGTATCATCATCACATGGGATAATACGTATGATGTAGATTATCTTTTATGAGTTTATCTTTTATCCGTTTTCTGTTCCTTCATTTCTCTACACATTAATTTATAGTTGCACAATTTTGCTGGAACTCAGCACTTACCCTGTACTGCAGTCACTCTACATTATTATTTCTATTGAGTGTGTGTATATATGTGTGTGGGTGGGTGCCTATGTGTTATCGTTGTGGCTTATTTTCGAAGTCGACTAACTTAACATACATATATCTTACTAACACGTAATGAATGTAATTAGCATAAGTTAGAATTGACAAGCAGGCGATGGGATTTCGTTCCAGTGGCTGAATGGACAACAGTTTCGCCTTATGACTTGATGGTTGTAGGTTTAATCCCCGTTGGTGATGAGGTTATAGATGCGTAGTACTGAACAGTGTCAAATAATGATGAAGCGCAACTGTCCAGTACTCTGCTCTGTTTCTCAATCTTGAAATAAACCAAATGTGATTACAAACAAACATTTTAAATGTAGTAATAATAATACTAATAATTCTAGCATACATTTTGTATTCGTTTGCCAGATACTTCTAACGTTCAAAATGTTTAATCGGTAGTTTCCTCTATAATTATTGGTCAAAAAATGTTTTTTATTTGCTTTAAGTAACCGATCACGTCCTAGGAAATACGACAATGTTCTTGTTTAACTAACTCACAGGAGAGAAAACTTTATCTTTGCCAATTCATTTGAACTCACTTCAAATTAATATACATGTTGTAAATAAAAGTCAAAAATGTTCATATTATTTGGGATTATAAGTGAATAATCCACTAGTGTGACGTAATTTTGTAATTTAAAACATTTTTGATCAACTCATTGTTGCATTTTTTTATTGGACCGAGAAGCTCGGACTATGTTGAAACGCTGGCCTCTAGTATAGAGGCTTTGACAGTTTCTCAAGGCTTCCATGATGTTTTTTTTTTATTACCGACTAGGAGTGGCATTCCGGACCTAATTATTATTTATTATTATTTTATCCTTTAATTCCTAGAGGAACGTAGGGATTCAGCTGCGCACTTCCATTGCCTTCTGTTTTCTGCCTACTTTTTCACCCCGCTCCAAGTCTGCCCACATACTTTCATCTCCTCTTCACATGACCTCCTCCAAGTCACCCTTGCACTGACGAACAACTCGCCGCTTCCCTTTCGGTTTCCACTCGAGGGATTGTCTAGTGATGTCACTTGATGGTTTCCTCAAGGTATGGCCAATCCATCTCCATTTCTTCCTGCATATTTGCTTCAGAATCGGTTCCTAGTTTGTTCGCTCATTGCCAGAGATCCCTGTTGCTGATCTTTTGTCGCCATCTGATTTTATTTTTATTTCTTATTTTTGATTACAGATTGATTCCACACCGTATTTTTTGTACAAGTATAGAATTTTCAGCGTGGATATCGGTAGCCCAAATTTCGCAGGCCAACCATAGATATCAGGTGTGCGTCGGCATGGGCTCAAACCCCGGACCATGTGCATGGTCGGCGGGAATCCTAAGCACTGTGCCACCGATGCACTGAGCGAAGACAACTGTTGATAAAGGTCTGTAGCTTGTTTGAGATGCTCTTTGTGACTCGCTAAGTCTCTGATCCGTATAGCAGCACTGACTTTACATTGGAGTTGAAAATCTTATTTTTGATGCTGAGTGCTGTTGACTTCCACACAGACTTAAGAGTAATGAAAGCCTGCCTTGCTTTTCCGATTCTGGCTTTGATATCCTCGTCAGTTCCGCCTGTAGTTGAAACGATGTTTCCCAGATTAGTAGATAAATGGGGTTGTTTTTTTTCAGGTTTCTCCCATTCATGCTGGCTGATTATTGTCTGTTGTTGCTGTTGCTGTTGGTGTTGGCCAGGAATCTTCATCACCTCTGTTTTATCTATGTTCACCTGAAGTCCTATCTTCTCTGGATGCTTCTTGTGCCAACTTGTTACTTTTCACTTGCATATCTTCCAGTTTGTGGGAAATCAGACATATGTCATCGGTGAAGTTCAGATCCTCCAAGTTTTTTGTGTGAGTCCATTTAATGCCTGTTTCCTCATTGGCCGTTGTCTGTCGCATTATCCAATCTACTGCAATCAGGAAGATCATTGGTGATAGTAGGCAGCCGTGTCTCACTCCCCTCCTCACTTCGAAGGCTTCCGTAAGTTTCTCGTTGTGGATTACTTGGCATGCGGCATTGTCGTATAACTGTTGGATGAGATGTATAATTGTTAATGGCACCCCGTAGTAGTGAAGTAGTTGCCTTTAAAATGAAGTTCTTTTATTTATTCGCTGATATTTCCACAGTATTTTTGTTTTATTTAAAAGATTTTTTGATTATTTCTGTTCAGTGATGTTGACATTTATGTGTTAGCATATATATATTATTTTGAGAACATTGCATAATATATATGATGCGCATTCCCTTCTTTCCTCACTATGACCCAATCGTTGTTGTTGTTGTTCTTGTGGTGTGGTGGTGGTGGCGATGGTGTTGGAGGTGGTTGCCTTTTGTATTTTTCTGATGGTGGCTATTTCAGTAGGCCAATATGTGGTTTCAACTTTATCTCTTTTGACATTTATTTGTTTCCTTGTTTGTTTATTCTATCTAAAGTAAATAGAAATCATAAACACTTTTTGTTTAGCATAGATATTTCATAGATTAAGTGTGTGTGTATGTATGTGTGTTTTCCATTATTGTTCCCATTGTTTATTTGTTTGCTTGTTTATTTCTCATTATTATCGGTTTCTAGCTATAGTTGAAATGCCACCGACTGGTACAGTTGTTCTGGTGTTCTCTTTTTTCATCTTTTCTGTACACTAAGGAATGCTATTTCTTGAACCGAACGCATTCTTCCGCATTAATAATTTATTGTTCGATTCAAACTTTTGTTTGTCTTCTCTTCTTTCCATTTGTCTAAAAGTCAGTTTTTCTGTGTGCGTAGGTGTGTGTGTGCTTTCTCCTCTTCAATTATTTAGTCAATAAGGATAAGATAAAACTGGGGATGGCTGCTAAAATCAAAGCAATGTTTGCCGAATAACTAGTCCAACAGTTTACCAGTTCAGCTGATAGACTCAATTGTTGACCAGGTAATAATCTGGAATCCTAGGTTTCAATTTCCAGTAGGATCGTAGATGCACGCTGATGAAGAGTCCGTAGCTTAAATGAAACAGACATTTCTTGCTCTTAGGGTTTTAATGATTGCATAACTAATGTTGGTTCATGACCTTACCTACACCGAAACATATCTTTATTCTGAATAGCGTTTCTCTTTTGCACAGAATATCCAGCGGAAGTGATTGTTTAATAGGTCTTCTTTGTCCAACAACTTCAGCTAAAATAGTAACAAACAGTAAATCACGTGACGCATCGCTGTCTGACCTGAAGCGAAAACCAATCCATTATTATGCTGTTTTTCTCTGCCTCCCTCCTTCATAAAATGCACAACATTTGATTGAAAGTTAATTTAACAAGGTGCAGCAGCACATTTTTTCACCCAAAGACGTAATAATAGCTGAATACGAGTTAGACCACGAATTGATATCACTTAGAGAACCATTGAAAACCAGGAAGTATTAAACAGCTGTTTCATCCTAGTCTGGGAACCATCGGCAGTTGGCATCCACCAGGTTTCGAACCCCAGGACCTTTCGATTACAAGGCAAGCTCGTAGGCCATTCAGCCACTGGGATTCGATTCAATGGCCAGCACATGAATTCTAACTTCTACCAATTCGTGACTTAGCGCGACCACCAACCAAACAAACTGAATAAGTGATTTGATGTAGTAATTTAGGTAGCCCAAGTTTCAAATAGGTCGTCTTTGTTTAGATTTTTGTTTTGTTGTTGTTATTTTTGTTTTCGTTTTGTTGTTTTCTTCAATTTCTGTACTTTCATAGACGTGTAAGTCACTTGATTTGATTAAACACATTCTGTCATTATGATGGATATGTATATGTGCATATAATTAGTAGATGTTTTGTTTACCAATCCACTCAGTCATTCACTAATCTTTTTCATATGTCAGTCATTACTCCATTGATGTCTTTCACGATGAAAGCAATAATAATAATAGTAACACGCTAGCTTTGTTTTTTGTTTTCTAGAGTCTGTAAACACAAAACAAACTTATTTATGTATGTATCGATGGTTGGATGTATAAACAACCTGGGGAACAGTCTTCTGCTTACATATCTGCATATTTCGTGTTTTTTAGAAGCATTTACTAACCAGGTATCTGTATGCCTTTGTTGATTACTTGGGAAACACAGACATGGAAAATAACAGGCAGTAATTATTTGATGAGATATGATCATTATTATTTCCTGAGGTTTCGAATGGAACATGGGACTTCAGTAGCACATCTTCACTTCATCTCGTTCTCTGAAGGAAGTCCTCTTTAGCTGACTTCATGACTGCCTGTAAGCTTTCATCCCCTCAGACGCCCAAGTTGCCGTTTTCCATTCTGGTGCTACTTGAGGGACTGACTGGGAACAATGTCACTCAATGGTCTCCTAAGTCAGAGCATGTCCAAACTATTTCCACCTTCTTTTGCATATTTTTGGACAATAGATTCTTGATTAATTCTTGTTGCCAGATTACCTTGTCGTTTATGCTTTCTGG